GTGTCAGCCACCACTACTCCGGCTGGCGAGCGGGTCTCTGGCCTGGCTGCTCGAGTGTAAAACGTCACGGATGGACAGTTCGTGCATGAGCATGATGGAACGTGGCGGGGACTTGACCTTTTTCCCAGAATGCCTTTGCGAATATGCTGCTGCATTCGATTAGCCTCATTTCGAGGCTTCCCTTGTGTGTAACACTGGTGTATTCAGGGAGGCTAATCGAACGCACTTGTTTACACTTGTTCCCAAAATGTTTACTTTTTTTGCTCTTCGGCACTACTGTCTCTTATTTTCAGATGTTGCAAACGTATCATTTTGAATCTACAGATTAAGTAAATAGAGGATTTTTTTCACAAGTCGAAAACCGGCTTCATGGAACTTTGGGGCTGGAATTCTTCAACTGTGCGTATAAGTTCCCTACACCACAGGGGTCAATTTGCCCATAGTTTTGATTTTAGTCGGGCACTGCGCAGATCACAGAATACTTCTGTATTTTTTAATATGATCTGGTGGTCTGTGCGTTTATATGTCTGTGCCCATAATACGGGTGTTTCATAATGGTGCGCCTCTAAGGGTTTGAAACGCGTTGGCCAATCACAATGCGCATCTGTCAACCCTTTCACCACGGACGTATATAAAAGAACCTGGACTTGCAACGCCTTTGTATGAAGAAGAAGCCAACCAGCCAACCAGCCGAATACAAATGCGTGGGTTGGCTCCCTTCTATTGACGTCAGGAAAAACAAAGGCGGGCATTGCCAGGAAAGCTTTGTATTCGGCTCGGTAAAATGGCCGCGAGTGGATTCAATGACTCTATAAGCTGACAGTCCAGATTTTATTATACACGTCTGTGCCTTTCACGCGCATTGGGTGGACAGCTTTCGCGCATGCGTTGCAAACTCTTGGAGGCGCACTTTTGTGAAACGCCATTATTCACGTCCTAATAATCAGTATTTGACGGATTGCACTCCAAAAGACTGCAACACATTTACTTCATTATTAATCTAAAGATCCAGTATCAACTGAATTTTTCATTCCATGCATAATGCATTGTAAATTTCTTATGACGTCCTTTTAACCACTTACAGCTTTTGCATGCATTTATAAATTACTGACACTTAATTTCAGATTCAGAATGGATCTCCACTCTAACTGGTCGAGTTCGGGCGGCCTGTTTTTGACACGGTTTTCTTGTTCTCGCGGTCTAACGGCGGGAACAGGACTCAAGAACACTGTTCCTGGAACGGGATCACACACCACCTCCTCGTCAGAGTTTTACAGGAACACAAGCAAAACCTCGTGGGATTTTGATTTTTGAACAACGGCAAAAAAACTGCGAGATGGCTCACAAACATGACAAAGCCGGAGACAATGGGAAGTTTTACAAAAATAACAATAATTATTCTACGTAGCAAAGAAATGAATGTTCTTTTTTAACTAGAAAAGAGTTCAGCCCAGCATTCTAAATTTACTCTGCAAGAACGCACATGGATGCCACCATGTTGCATGCAACAACCAGCGAAACCGGTTGTACGTTCCCGGCATTCGAGCGGCCGACTAACGAACAACAAATCGAGCGATTCGTGAACATACGAGAACAAGCTGCCCGAACCCAGCCATTGTGATGTTAATTAACTCATCGTCCAACGCGGCCCGAAGCGGGCGCTGGGATGGGAAGGGTTGATGGCCTTGCACAGATTTTAGTAAAGGAAATACGTCACACAGGGTCACAGCTAGCGACGCGTAGAGCAATATGGGTGAACTTCTGCCTGGTGCAAAAGTTCGCTCAATGCGTTATATAGATACAAGCGGCAGTTATCAATTCAATAGTTTTCTTTTGCTTCCTCATTGCTGAATTTTTTTCACTTATTCGTTCCTCCAAAATTGATCAGATAACCGATGATTTGAAATAGGCCTATATCGCCAAAGACGCGTGGTACTGGTTGAACGTTCACAATCTCGCAGGCTTCCTACAAATGACCGGCAATATCAATGAGCATTTGGAGAGTGCGAATAAATCTATATTTTAGTATAAAGGGATTCTTTTACTACTCGCTAGCGGTACATGTGACAAATTGTGGCTATTGCAATGCTCGAAAAAGAATAGATAATTGAAAAAGTCGTTGGAAATTTACAGTTTAAACATTATTTGACTATCATGGTCAAAAAGGTATTTATGAACGGAAATAAGCCTTCGGCTCGGACCATTAGGCCTATCAGCGTCCATTCTCCTCACCCGTTCTAAATAAAACGAATATTCCCTTATCAAAACCTGTTCAAGTTTATGTCACGCATTATTAAACTTAGTGCACCGCCAAGTAAAATATGCTTGAACAAGCTGCGAAAATATTGCCAGTTTAGGCCTATTTTGTATAAATCAGGGCATTATTCAGCACTAAGCAAACAAGCAAGCACTCACTTGCATGTACATTAGGCCCCCGTAGAGGAAATGGGGTAATTCCAGTGTCCGTTTTCGTCCGTGTCTTCAAACACTTGCACTTTTGGTGCCACCTTTGGCAAGGACGCCCGTGCGCCAAGTCAAATACAACTTGGTCCCGCACGCTGTCAGCTGTTTGCACGTTTTGTTCGACTGAGAAGTAAACAACTTTGAGTGACAGAAACGCTCTCACTCTGTCTCACGAGTAAAACGGCCAAACACCTTGCAAGGAGGAAAATGTACATACGTCCAACCCATTTATTATTTCAAATGACATCCTTATATGGTGGGGCAGATTTCCAGAGGCCAAGAATGTGTTAGAAAGTAACGTCTGGAAGTCTGGAGTGTCTTAAAGTCAATAGTCACAAGTGCACAAAATTGCTCCACTCTAAAATGATTCAAATTAAAATGTAAAAACATAATAATTTAAAGTTGGAAAGTATCAACAACCGCCATTTTCTAAAGGAGTACCTTTGCTAAAAATTATATTTCGAAGAGAGTATAGCACAAAAATTAATTAATCTTAAAATACTTGAAAATGATCTTTATAGAAATGAAACTTCTTTAATAAAGGTCATCACACAATGTACAATGAACGAAGATAATACAGATATGGTTCAAATACAACTCAAGCTGCTTTCAAAGTGGGCATTCAATGTTCAGAGATTTGAGATTTTCTAAATGGCTATGAGCAGTGGCGTGCTAGTGGCTAAAGCTTAATCGATGCGCTTGAAAACATGGAGACATGGCTTCCACTCTAGGTGTACATGTACATGTTATTGCTAACCTTAGCAAATTCTTTCAGATGCAGTCTTACGTTTAATACTCAACAACAACCTCCTGTGCCTGCCAATAATTTTGGTAATGAACGGCTATTGAGTCTGACGTACACACCAAGAACACACAGCAATTGCCGAAAAGCTGTCAATATACATGTAACCCCAAATGGCATCTTTCAGGATTAGGCAGACGCCTTGTTTACTATGAATGCCAATGACCAATATAAATGCATGCTATGCAACATCACATTTTACTAAAACAGACCACAAGGACCCAGCCACACTGGTGCACAACACCACATGCGTAAACCTTTTACAAATTGGTATGCCCTACAAATGCTGGACATATGCAGTACTATTACATACTTATTTGAAAGATACAGCACACTTGAAAGATATATTACATTTACTTTTAAACGTATTTGTTTTGGCAAATGCACATTGAAACTACCCACGATATTAGTACTGCGAAAACAAAGAACCAAAACAGTAAAGTAGCCTTGACCAACATATTTGGAATGTTATCATTATTGATTTGAACAGGCACCAACAGTAAGAGCTTTAACCTCAGATTTAATGGCTTGTGTGGGGATCATAAACTCAAGGCCATGTAAAGCTGCATTTGACTTTTTCCTTATGACCGAGGACTTGGCACAAACAAGTGGTATTGTGATATTGAAGAACTCAGACACTTGAGTCGAGTCCTCCGGGGTATGCTCGGAAGAAAGCTTAAGGCCAGATAATTGGGGGAAAAAATAACAGGAACAATAATGGATCCTGATATATGTAGAATGTGTATACAGTTGTTGAGTGTCTGGGTACAATGGCACAGTCTCAAAACTTGAAAAGACAAATTTCATTGATAGGAATATTTAAACAGGATTGGTGAGCCTCTGGTATGTTCCAACAGTGACTTGCATTCACACTAAGAACAGTCCCAACACAGCACTGCAAAACTGTTCCAATGACAGGGTGCTCTGTCAGCCCCACACCGAGAGGACAATTTCTTTGGGAGCGAGCAGTGGAGATGAGTAACTGCCCCCCAAACGACTTTGGAATAGGTATTTTTTACAAAGACGTACAACTGGTTTGTGTATGCATGGAAGGTAAAGTGATTCGTTTGCTACAGACATCTGCACCTGTGGTTCTCTTTCCCTAAGACAAACCAAACCGAGATCGACCACCATAGATAAGGCTACTAATTAAGGACAATAATCCAGGTTGTATTTTTACACTGCACTCGGTTACATACTTTTTTTTTTCCACTGCACAAGTACTACCATGATTAAGAGAGCTGAAGATGTACAGCGACAATTTAAATGGTCTCGTCAGTGAGGGTTGACCAATCAACTGGCTGATGTAAAATCAGCCGGCCTTGGAACAAGCTTACTTTGACTAGTTTTGTAAGTCAAAAGTCTGTTGGATCTTGCAGTAAAAGATATACAGGACCACGACTAGGGGTTCTGTCCTCGATCTCAATGCTATTACAGCCTGTCGGAGGTGGATGGATTTTGATTTTTTTTTTTTGGCACAAATCTGGTGAGGAAACATGGATCGATCACTGTTAATCAGTGCTTGTAAAACAGGAAAGAGATAGTAGTGGAGGTAGTAGTGTAGGCAGTGGAGCACCGTCCTATACCTGTCACAAAATTAGCTTAGCTACTCTTGAGGCATTCAATATTTTACACTGAAGACTTGGAGCATCTTGACATTAATTTTACAAGTCTAAACATCACAGCATCACTTAAAAACAATTAGAGATATTTTAAATCTACAGTTGCGCAGAAGTACTCAATAGCACCCACTAATGCTACAACTCAATGGATTTTAGCAAATTAAAAAGGCACTGTTCAGCAATGTACAAGGTTAACAAATATTTACACTTGTCTTCAAATTAATAATTAAAATAGGTATCTGAAATGCATGACAATAGTAAGTCTTTGGCAACAAGAAAGAATGGAAAAACAACATATACATTTGTACTGACAATATACTAGGACTGTTATACTGATTACTAACACTGTAAAAGATCACACCTGAAATACAACTTGGGTTGCTTTTAGAGAGTGGACACCCATCACTGGGTGACTTTAGGGCTTTTTGGCTCCAAGGCTATACCGACAACTAAACCAGGTTTAACGACAAGGTTAATGACTTACGTTATTTGTCCAGGGTTATCCTTTGTGAACCTGGCACATGAAAACCAAGAAAGTAATAATAAATTTGACTCCTCCAAAAAGACTTCACAAGAATATTTCAAAAGTCATCACAGAGAGTCTCAAAAGACGGTTCCCTTCTAACAGCAGGCGAACAGCAAGAAATGCTTTTGTTACAGTGCACGACTGAACAGCTTCCAGTTCACGTTCAGACTTGGCCGTTTTTCACTTCTCATGAAGATATGGGATTATCTCTGAAGCAAATCATAGACTTGTGAAGAACTCTGAAACGACAACACCAACGGCATTTTTAATTTAAAAATTTCACACCGTAGAAATTGACAAAGATCTGATATCAGTTTGGTCTGTGTATATATGAAAGCATTTCTACAAATGAAACATTTGTAGAACCTGAATATGTTTTTCCAATACAACAATAAAGGTGACTCGGGACTTGGACTTGGCCTTTGTGACTTAAAACTTGGACTTATGTGAATCGGACGTGGAATCAATGTTTTGTGACTCGAATACAAGCCTGCCCATGCATACCGACACATATCCCAAAATCCCTTTGAGAAAGAGTCTAACTGACCTGTGTTTGACCCCAGATGACCCTTTTGGTTGACCTTTTGTCTTTACAGGATGCTGCACCCCCAGCAGCACTGGTGGGGGTAGTCCGGGGCGTGGACCTCGTGCTCAAAGCCGTAGACCCAGAAGCGAGTACTGATGTCTTTCCAGTCATAGTGGGCCTCAGTCACGGGTACAGAGCGAAGGGTCTGACGCTGGGATAAGAAGCAGATTACAGAATGGACACTTACAACGACTGATCAGAGGTAAGCAGTGCAGTTTAGAATGGTTCTGTTAACTTCTAACCGTACAAGATCCTTTGAAGTCAACAGGGACAGTTTTGCAGGAGTAACAATCCATTGACTTGTCAATCACCATGAACCACGTAGTCATTTTGCATAATGTTACAGTCCAGCCTCTTCCCTTAAAAGTTAATATTCTAGCACATTTTTGAATTCAAGAATGCATGAAAGGGAAGCATTCTCACTTACAAGACTGGGAGAAATAACTCTCAATAGAACAGCATCCTTACCTGTTGTAGGGTCAGAGCATTTGGCCAGGCAGAGCGGTGTTTATCGACGAGACGAATCGAGTTCTGGTTAACCTCTTGAACAGGATACTGGGATATAGGCCACACCTGTTCACACAAAATCACAATCACATCATTACAAATTTCTTTAACTATCTTACATGTACATTTATTTTGATGTGCATCTTCTGTATTTTTTTCATCATTTTCTTCTTTTGATCTTCCACAGAAATCTGCTTTAAAAAGATCAAGCCACATAACTGGCTCCTGTCCACTGGTTGCTAGTTTTCAGATTTCTTTGGAACACTCATCACTTCCCGCAATATGATGATGGAAAGATTCTAAACTCGATTTCTCCACTGAGACATGCCGGCGTGTATAGTAAGACCTTTTTGTTTTGATGACTGATTACAACAGCATCGGAATGACTTTTAAAGAAGGGGAGCACTTGTGAAACCATCAGGTATCAAGCCCTACTCTACTGTAGGACTTGCAACAAAAAGGGGGACAGGGCATGCCCCCGTTGGAAAAGTATTGGGGCCACCCCCCCTCCACTGCCAGGGGCTGACTGTATGGGGAGGGGGTAACAAAATCCTGAGGATATTTCTTTTAATAACATGCCTTCATTGTTCAAAATTCTTGAGAAGATGTGCATTCTTGTTTAATTCTGGAGGGAGGAGCAAGTTTTTATAGGAGGGAGAAGGGGCTACTGATCCAAAATCCTCTATCAGCCCAACTGCTTAGATGTGTTCCTGACACTTACAAAAGGCAACGTCTGCTGGAACACTGTCTGTCCACTGACATTCCTTATCAACTCATCGGGCATGTCTGAGCGCTCCAAGATATAGTCCTCTAAATTGTTGACGCTAGTCAGTAAAGAGAAGACGGAATAGAAGATTCAGAGACACTGGTTACAAATAGGTCAAAGATTGCTCAATGTATCTACTTGTTTGGATTAAGTTGAACATTTTATCAACTCCAGAAGGTTGGTCCAAAACAGTCAACTTGAGTGCACCAACCATTGTCAACGTGCGCAATTTTGTCAAACTATGGTTGACCATTGTTCTCAATAATCCTTTTGCGAGTTAACTTTGACCCAAATCTGGTACACTGAGTTCTTTAAATTCACGTGAACATAACAACCTGAATTCTCCTTACTAAACCACTGTTGCTATACCTCATGATTCAGGGCAAGCTTTGCTTAGTTACATAAGAGACGCCTTGCAACAATACACTATTCTCAATGGATAAGAAGGGCACAAAGGAACCAGTCCATTCCAGGGATGGTGGTTGCTATGCGAAAGCTTGCCCCGAATCACGGGGTTTCGCAACAGTGTGTTTAGTCTGGGGAGTTCAAATCGTTATGTTTATGTGCAGTGATTTTGTGTGCACACGATTTTATTCAAATTCAACTCGCAAATGGCTTATTAATCATGCTCCTTGATAATGGGCCAGTTCAGTATTTTAAAAGGCAAGGTCATTTGAGTACAAAGTATGTGCACAAGTCAGCAAACATGAATGGCATGCTGATGGGGCAGAGATCAATTGTGTATTCTTCCTGGATGACCTTGGACACGCTTCCTGACATGCACTGTTGAAATACTGAACCTTAGATACCTAAGGCCAAAAAAAATAATAGTTGTGCTTCTTATTGCATTGAAAAAATAATGGTCAAGTACATGGGTAGTATCTTTCTTTTCTTCTAAAGTTTTTGGGTCAAAAGTTTTAAGGTGGGAAATTTTTTTTTTTTTTTTTAATTCAAAGTGATTTTGATGGTGGAAGGTGTATTCCATCCACTCTTTGTTTTTCCCGCGGATTCGTAACTTGAGGATCAGTCTAGTAAAAGACTGTACCTAAGTCAGAGCCCCTCCAGACAATTATACATTTGTATTGCACTGACATTTTGCTAAGTTAATCTCCAAAAATTGTTTGAAAGTTCATACAAAACGATGCACTTAGAGCACTTAAAACCCGTGCGATGATGCATGACTTTGCACGCCCCCTGCCAGTTGTCAAAGAACCCTCTTTTGGCACAAGCCAAAATGTACTAACCTTATGTCAAGCCTTAAATTCACAGTGAAATGTGTGCTACCTCAAGTTATAGTGGGGATTGTTAGTCACTACTTCCGCTTACGCAGGAATGGCTGCAATGGGTCCCGCTGACATGTGTATGAATATTGATGTTTCATAGGCAGCCAATCACAACACAATGACCGGATGGTCCCCGGATGCTGTTTACTTACAAGGCTTGCGCTTTGAGCCGCAAAGATATGTATCACTGTACTCACATACTGTACGTGTGCATGTACAGTAGATTCAGTCGCATGCATTACGGAGCTCCAGTACTGTTTGGTGTCCTAACGAGGACTTGCAAAATTTGACCTGGCCATCGTGTTGCGTCGGTAGAAAAAGAAAAAACATGGAAAACTCGGCATTTACGCAAGGTAGAAAAACAAGGAAAATCCAGCCTGTCGATTGCAAAAAAGTGGAAAATGAAATTTGGCATACTTAACGAAAAAGCGGAGATTTCACACCCCTGAAATAAGCACGAGGATCAGCAACAATGTGCTACTTTAGGGTGGGTAACCAGAAGCACAACTATTATTTTGTTTGGACTAATGCAAGACTGGATTCATTTTTGAAGGAGACTTGATGACTGCTTCCTCACGAAAAGGGAACCAGACATTTGGGACTTACTAAGAGACAGTCAGAAGGATGAAGTGACGAAGCTGCCGGTAGCCTGTGCAGGTGGGGCACGTGACCCTACCATCACCCCCACAACGGGTGCACCTGAGGAATGGGAGCCCAGAAAAAATCAACATGTGTGACCTTCCTCACAGCCTGGCACAGATGTTGCAAAAAATTGATGAAGAAGAACTGTGTAGTTATGACAGTAACTACGTAAAGTTTCAGCTTAGCCTACCTACGCCGTCCTGATCCATGGCACCAAGTGCAGCTGACACGTTGGGATTTACCGTCGCGGTGAACAGTCCGACGGCCACTTCCATGACAAGAGCTACAACGAACCTGCAAGTAATGACATCAAAACTGTTTGATATTGATCTGCCTTTCTTCCCGAGGTTGATGAAGCCTGTTGGGCCAGCCCAGTTGGCTTTAAAATGCCTACTTAAAAGTCTGCACAGTCTCCATTGTGGGCTCCTTTCGCCATTCAGCAATGCAACCCAGCTACTGGTTCCACAAGGCAAACTGTCAGCGCATACATGCAAATCCACAGGCTCACCAAGTACCACGGTCCTGTGCCTGGTAACACTTAGAATAAAGGCAATCATTTAGGTTGCAATAGAATCATGCACACAGCTCTCTTTATAGTGCGTTACACGTGGCTTTCAGATGGCAAGGTTCTTCACATACTGCATAAACCATGAAAGAGATGCATGAGTGTGAACCTCCCACAGACATTAGACTTGCAGTCCAATCCCAGTTTGAAAGGTGGATGAAGGTATTCAGGATGCACTTTTAAGTATCAAAAAAATGAAGTGGTCGTTGAGTTAAATGCCAGGCGGTCATCAAGGCAAGTTTGCTCATTGGTATAACTTTGTCCAAGTTCCTTGGAAAGTAAGGGCACTGGGTAATACACCCACAGGTTGACTTTTTAAGTGAGGGGCAACACTTTTAGATAGAAGTAATAATAAGACCAGGTGATATAATCATACAGAATTCTAAGTGGGCACTTCTGTGAAGTATCAAATTCAGATTACAGGAGGGTTACCAACTGCCATCTGATGAAACCAACATTCAATGTTTCGATTCCGTGAAGCATTTCAAGTGAAGTAAATGCTCATCATTGGGAAATATTTTGCAGTGGAAAGATACCTGTGTGCAAACAGCAGGATTTTTCTCACCAACTTCCTGTTTGACTGTGAACGCTTTTTAATGAGGCAGAGTTTGAGAAATAAAAACATCTTCAATCTCACAGACTTCAACAACTTCTATTTGTTATCATCAACATCCTTTGGGAGTCCATGTTGTTCACACTGTTTGGGCCAGGATGATCAGTTTCCAGTTGGGTTCAGTGAGACTCACAAGAAGTGCTATAAAACGTATTGCGAGACAGGAGCCAGACTGTTACAGCCATCAGGCACGTCAAACCAAGCTATTTGCCAGACTACTGGGGGGAGTCTAGGGCCAAGATTTATCACAAACCATTGAGCAATCACCCATTCATTTTGCCTGGTAACTTAAGCACAACTCTTACCCTCACACTACTAGCTAAAATTAACCTGTGGTTAACCAATGGTGACTGACACCTCTGTCACGTAGCCCACTAGTAAACAGCCTACAAACGAGTGGGCTGGAAAACCAATAAAACAACAACTTCAAGCCTTCCAACCACTTCACAAATAACCCTTGCATTCTCTTGCTCCCCAAGTAATTTCATGTACACTGATTCTCTTACCCGTCCCCGTCCACGGCATCGTCCACACATCACAAAGCCACATCCACAGCAGCGGTGGCAAATCTGTGGAACAAAATAAGCACAAATAAATATTTCAAGATCTCTTTGATTTCTTCTATCCTGATGCTAAGGGATACTTCAAAACCCTGCAATATTTCTTGTATAGCACCATCGCAATGTGAACAAGCGTACATCACCCAACACTCTCCTTGCCACGCAATAACAAATGTTACTGACACTTAGGGCAAGTTGGAACAATGACTGCTCGTTGACCACTGATCCACGTTTACCTGGAAACCTGGGCACAGAATATAAACCTGTATCATGGGTACCAGGCAAATTCGACCACTGGTTGACAAACATTCATCACTCATACTTGCCCTTCGCTTAAACTTAGACACATTCATCCTTTACGTATCTCCAAAGTTTCAGCTCAAGAAGATAAAGCAATGTACACTTACGTCATTGGCTCTGGGAAACCTCCCTCCATGAACCAGCAGGTTTGTGTCCAATTAGTGAAACATCTTAGATTATTTGGTCACCCCACATTAAATGTGATATTTCGTGGGAGCAGGACACCAACGTGTTACAAATTTGGCTATTTGGTGGTTTGGCCTCACCTTGATAATTGAAGTGTGTGGCACCTCTAGATTCTTCTTGTGCGTGAAGAACAGCTGGTCCGGTTTGCAGGCTATGGACCAGGGGGGTGGTGCTGGACCGTTCTCGGGGCCGTCCACAAAACCACCAGAGTAAGGTTTGAACTTACGACTGGTGGATCTCGCTTCATTGAAGGTTTCCAGCTGGTACTGTGGAACAACAAGTACAGCCAAAACAACAAAAACATAAACAGAGGCATTTCAAGTTTTCAAAGGCAGTTCCGGAAGCACAATTATTGAAGGGCTCAAAACACACTATTCACAATTACAAGTTTACCTTCTGTTTATTTCACAAGATCAAAAGCATTACCAATTTTTCATCACTAATTTTTTCAGATGCATCCAAAGATTTGGAAACCCCGATGAGTGCTACAGGAAAAAAATATTGCTATAATATAGAAAACAAAAACTGAATGACTAGAAAATCACTAAAATTCCTGACTGCCTCATCCGTCCTCCCCTAGCTCCACCCACTGCATCTATACCCACTTACGTGGAGCGCGTGGGTTGGTATGATCTTAGAGATGGTCATGTTCTTGGCAGGTCTGGAGCCGTAGCAGCAGTGCTTGTCAACAAAGGCCAAAATGGCTGCCCTAACGGCCTCTTCCCCGATACCTTCCTTTCTGCAATGCAGACGAAACAACCATCGTAACCATGGGCTTCAAAATCTGCAATCTCTAAAAGACATTATTCATGGGAAGCCATTTTGATCTTGTTCCCTGATTCTATCATATTCACTGTTATCTATTATGGAATGATGCCAGACTATTTTCAGGATCCACGCCTCACTTTTAGTAAGTTTGGCATTTATCACATATTTCAAAATATTCTAAATGTACACTAGTATAAATTTGTCGCAAACTTTTCATGTTGTTGCAGTTATTTTTACTCTCAGGATCCCAAAATAAAAACTTACTTTCAATCCAAAATGCCCGACACAAGGATACAGTCTATTATCAAAATGTGTATTCACTTCTATAATTCCATTACACAAAAATGGAATCAACCATCCCAGATCCTTCAAAATCCACAGAACTTTATGGAGGACATGGCTAGAATAAGGCAAGAGAAGATGGCCCTCTAGTCACTCTTTACTTACGAATCAAAGACTTCTTGGGGACGATTTTCTTCTGAAGGGGGTTCATACGCAGGGGGAGGCACAGGAGGTCCTAGATCAGACAAGACCACAATTGCTAAATCAATAATTGTATTTTTGGAGGCATTGGAAAGCATTCAAATAAGCCTTCTCGCAACTGTTCAGTGAATATTCAAATGGGTTGCACATAGCCTGACTCAAATTCCAGTGCTGTGATCCTTACCGTCAAAGAATGCCACTGTCTCGTACCCAGGCACAGGCTCTAATGAAGTCACATCTGGGTTCTTTTCATCTCCCTCGGTGGCATTCTCATCATCCTCGGGGTCAGACTCCGCTGCATTGTCAAATTTGTAAGGGGCGGCACCTTCGGGGACAGCGTTTGGAGTCCAGGCTGTCAGAGTATTGAAATGTCTTTAGACAATAACTTGACAGCATTACCTCGAATTTTGAACCTCGTAAGGTACACAGAACATACTTTGCAGAAATTTCAAGATATATTGATTCCCTTTAACAGCAAATGGGCCGTATGCACAGGCAAACAGTAGCCCCATGGTCTTGTAATATGAGGGAAATTGTTTGCAGAACCTTGAAAAAATCTGGAAGCAATATACTAGTATTCTTTATGTTGAAAAAGTACCTTGCTGCTGAGATCCCTGTTGAACGGCTCCTGGGGGTTGAGGAGGCTGTGGTGGAGAGGCACCATAGCCTTGCTGTGGCGGGGGTGCCCCATAACCTTGCTGTGGCGGGGGTGCCCCATAACCTTGCTGTGGCGGGGGTGCCCCATAACCTTGCTGTGGTGGAGGTGCCCCATAGCCTTGCTGTGGTGGAGGTGCCCCATAGCCTTGCTGTGGAGGAGGTGCCCCATAGCCTTGCTGTGGTGGAGGTGCCCCATAGCCTTGCTGTGGAGGAGGTGCCCCATAGCCTTGCTGTGGTGGAGGTGCACCATACCCCTGTGGAGGTGGGGCACCAGGAGCTGTCCCAGATTGAAACACAGGAATGTAAAGATGAACTGTGAGCAAGGATACCCATCTAAAGAAATAATTGCCTTTCTTTTTGAATTAACAGTTCACATTGAGTATCAGATAACTGTAACAGAGCAGCACAAAGCAGGAAATTCTTTGGTCAAGTATTGTTGGTGAGAGTGAGGTTTTGGCTTCAAGTCTCACCCACTCAAGGTTGTGGATTTCTTTCATAAAATTTCAATAAGGCGCTGTGCATACACATGCAGCGTTCACTTCCTATGACACATTGCTTGAAGAATGAAAACAAAACAAAAGCTCAATTCCGGCAGTTTTAAATCCAGATATAGACGATAAGAATGAAACCACTGCTTTGAGGCCTATGTAAGTGCTGCAAGGGCATTTTGTAAAATCGACACCCAATGTTGGAGTCAAGTTCATTGCAAGTCCTTTCACAAGTCCCTTCACAATGCCAGTAATACGTCACAGGGCGAAAAATGACAAAAAAAGATTTTGCCACTGTTCAATTGAATAGCTTGAGAATTGGCTTAAGACTGAATGGCTTGTGATGGATATGTGATGGACTTGTAATATACTTGGATATGCAAGGACTAGTAATGGACTTGAACACAGCACTATCGGGACCATCAAGCAGACAGGAGATACTTCTCTCTTTGCCGGCTGTGAAAAATGCAGAGCCAGACCATCTCCCCCAGATTTCTGTATTACTTTCCTTTTTTATTTAAGTACTTACGTGGATAACCTTGTTGGGCCATGATTTCACTTTCAGTCTCAAAGGAAAGAGGAACTCTTCCTTATTTCCTGTTGCAGTTTCAAGGCAAGAGGATGAACAGCCAAACAAGAACCCTGGTAGAAAGGATACACAATATGAAACTGTAAGCTTACCATGTCAACATACAAAGCATGTTGTCTGAAACATCAAGAAAACTCTCTTGATATCAACTCTTTCATAAGCGATATTCTTCACAGAAGAGACATCTTTATGACATTCTGCCAGGGATGAAGCTTGTGGGTGGTGCGAAGGATGCGAAAATGCAGCCCCCTTCTATGTTTACGTTGAAAATACTACTGCCTAAAACAAGGTTGGCACATTTCTTATAAAAAAATTATGTTTTTTACTTAAATCCGATTTTTTTATACTCGGATCAAATTTTTAATTTTTTTAAAAATTTTCATATAATAAGTCCTGTAATTCATACACTGTGACTCAAAAAGCTAATTTAACCATATGCTGGCGGGGAGCCCGGTTTCGGACTTCATATCCAAAACCAGGGAGCCCGAAACCAGGGAGCCTGAAACCAGACAAAAGAGCTGGACCTTGTAACAAAAGACCATACTCGGAACAAAAGACCGAGCTGCTAGGAATCGCTAAAATTTTCTTCAGATGTCAATAGCGGAGGAAATCCGTCCTTATTTTGAGAGATTATACCATTGTTTGTGGCATTCAGCACAAGTGGATTACCACCGGGGACAAAAGCGCTCCAGGGATGAGCAATACAACACCGCTGCAGGCTAATCTGGCCCCTATTGAAAAGAGGTCAGCAGCGCACTGCACCAGTTTCGGGAACAAAAGAAAGTTACATAACACTGCACAATCTGGACTCTTTTTACAAGGTGGCAGGCCTGGCTGAAATACTCAAGCGTCAATAGATGTCAGATTAGAGTAACCAACGGATTTGTGTGGGTATAAATGTCCAGTAAATGAAGCTATGATTTTTGAAGAATTTTGAAAACAGAAAATCTTGAAAATCTCCTGATTTTTACGTCATGCAACTTCAAATTCCACTCAGCAGCAAGTGGTTAAAGTGGCTTGAATTGAAAGAAACAATCCTGCCAACCCAGATTGTATGTAACACATATGCACACATACTTCTAATCAATACTAGGTACTGAAGGTCTCATTGAAGGGGATTTGTACTTAAATACGTAAATTATAGCCAACCTTGCTGCAAAATCCTGTTAAATTCAGCAAGCAAGGCCACTGTATTACAAGCAGGACTTATACATGTGTATCCATCAGATGTCCACAGCAATCCGCTGTGAATAGATGCTGCTAGACACTATTTTTTACCCCTTAAATTTAAATGTTTGCAATATACCCTTCATTTTAGTACATTTTGTAGAATGTGTTCCTAAATTAAATCAACGACAATATTGCAGGACAAATGTAAAACGAGACCATAAATAATAAATGAAAGGTTAAATATTTGACTAAAAAAGTCCCATACTTACTCTCAAATTACCTATGAACCCTAGGAATGGAATCATAGATTTCAAAATTTTCTGACTGAAGGGAGGGAGGAAGGAAACAACACCCTTGTCCCCTCTGTAGCAAGAACATAGCGCTCAAATATCAACTTCTGTCTCCAGAAAGCTAGATAGATCTGCCCCTGAAAAGTGGGATGGGGTAGATTTTAACCTAGCCCCACAAATTGGGCTGTAGTGGCTCTCTTTTACAATCTGACTCTTTTCTGTCCGCGGTGGCGACAGAAAAGAGACAGATCGTAAAAGAGAGCCACTACAGCCCTACGAGTGGGGCTAGTTTTAACCAGGCTACTCTACTTTAGGCTTTTTTAAACAGCTCTGGCTCAGCCACGTTTTACGATGGCAGAGTTAAATTAAAACCACTGCATGTACATGATGGACACTGAGCCCATATAGAGTAATTAGCGTGGCCCAACTTTCTTGTTATGAACAAATTATCAATAACCAAAAAAATCAAATGATAAATCTGATGTCTCAGATCATTTTATATTTAATAATAATAAGACAGAACACTTGTAATGCGCCGATATCTGCCAAAAACTGACTTAGCTGAGTAAAATTCATGAAATTACATTGTAAATGCACACAAACATACATGTACATCCCACACTGCATCTCAACCCAGCCACTGGCTAGCTTCTGCTACGCTGCAGTATGACTCATGCGAACAGGAGCCACTCCTCATGTTTTATTTTAATGTCACTCACATAGAGCAAGGACACATAATCAGCGAGGCAAATTATTTTGAACATGTTCTACCAAAATTTTCCATTTCTGCGCATAGTAATGCAATACGCTGATCCTGCATTCTCTCATGCTTCAAGTTACATCCGTTCCTATACAATTCTGCGAAGACTGATATCCGAAACTGCGTCCACAAGCAAACATTACACAATTGTGTGATCGACTACCCGAGGTTGGACGGCATCGCGACTCGCCATGCACTGAATTTAGACGTCGTCCAACCCGGGCTACGTGATCGACAATTATCAAGTGGACCATCAACTTGTCAAGGCGCGGCAAGTCTGTGTCAAAGCACGTGAGCCCGTCATTCTTAATATATGTTATGTATCGACACATATCCAAATGTATACACCATAAAATCCACACACGCTCGTTACGATTGTTAAAACGCGAAAATGCACTGAATAGTTGTGATAAAACTCACCAATGAATTCCACCTCCAGTCTACACAATCACACACATGCCAGTGCATGCTCCGACGACGTCGACGATCGATATTCCAGGCTCTGATTACCGAGTTTTATTAACGTGTAGTGTACGGCCACTCAATTATGTCCGGGTACAGTAGTAAATCTAAGACTCAACTGCACGTTGCGCGCACGAACAACTCGTGTAAACAAGCGCATAACAACGACTCACCAACACAGAGATATTCACTTTCTACATGATTTACTTCTGCCGTTGCTTGTTTCACCCGTTCCTTTATCATGTTGATACTGTTTAACATGATTTAATGTTGACCAAGCTTGTGTAATATGTATGCATTAAGTACGGACATTTGAAACATGAAATGGGAGGCCATGCAGGCCTAAATGAAAAACAAAAAGTTGCTTTCAATGTCGATATTAACAATATTTTATAGATTGAATTGATTTCCCCCGACATCCATGGGTATCCCATGTACCTTTGACCTTTCAAAAGAATCCTTTAAGTTGAGTAAATATGAAAATGAAACTGACCCTCAAATGAACCAATATGTTAAATTTTCTCAAGAGCAGTGGCAATGTTTATGCAGGTTCAAGTTTTCTTTGGCTTCCTACTCCAAATGCATACAACACACGTTACAGAAAGTTTGTAATGAAAATAAATGGTTAACAAAAAAAGGCTTTGTGTCTTTGTCCTCTTAAATCTCACATTACTGTTTGCCAGAAACATCTGCCAAACACCTGAAGCATTGGGCCTGGGATCGTCGTCGGTGTCACCTACCAGACCAAGCTTGAATTTGGGGCCCTTTAAGTCTTTAATTACATTGTAACTCTTTATACAAAAGAAACAATTCTCTTAAAGGAAAATAACTGTTTGTTGATTAACACGCCCGTTTCAATTTATTAAAAGTGTGCTTGAGATCCTACAATTTTTCCCATTCTCGGCCTACGAGTATCTTTTAAAATAGTACGTGTTCTCGTCAAAAAACAAATGAAATTAGAATTTATTTTGCAAACCCTTCGCCTTTCGCATGATTGAAAAAAAAATTCATGTCATATTGTCTGTTTAAATTTATACAATTAAACTTCGTCTGAAATGCAATTCTGGTATATAAAATGAAAATATACTCTCGGGTAATTTGTAAGTCTTTTGTGTCGGTTGCTTTTAAAGTGAACTG